CTTTATCCCTACAATAAATTCCCTGCCTTTGAGCAGGAATCGAAGCCACTACATCCTTTGCTGTCATAGCCAGCAGGATTTTACCCCTCCGAGGCCAGCAGGCTGCTCCTGTGTCCCTTTAAGACAAATGCGTGCTCTTGCCAGACATCGAGGCAGCTTCCTTGTGTATTAGGAAACTGATGTCTTCGATAGGTCTGGCTTAATGGGACTTACTAGTTGTTGAGTGCTGGCAAAGGGCTAAACTGAGAAGAAGGTGCAAAGTACTTGCATGCTGTGAGTAGTTCACAAGATATACTGGCAAAGCCACGCCATGGTGGAAAGCCTGGAGGAAGGAATGATTCAGGGTGCTGCAACTGAACCCTTAAGGAGGGATGTGCTGTGAGGAGTATGGTGATTTGGCAAAGCAGGTTGAGAAGTCATTTGAAAAACCAAAGGTCCAGCTGGTCCATGTGGCCCAGTAGGCTGGGGCAGGTCCCTGTCAGCAGAAATAGTAACTCCAGCCACGTGGGATTTCCTGGCTCAGGAGAGCTGGTGCCCATTTCTCACCAGCTATGTACAGCCTTTGGTGGGAATCCAGGGCAAGACCCAGACTTGTCCTTCTGCATAATGTGTGGTGAGAAATCTCTGCGGCTTGGTCCCCAACACGTTAGGAGAGCTGTAGGTGAGGCTGCAATGAAAAAGCTTTAGGGAGAGCCACTGGGAAGATGGAAATTAGCTCTCTCCCTAAGACTTGCTGAAAGCTTTTAGAGAGGCAGTATGAGTGAAGACCGGGGGAAGAGACAAAAATTGTTGTAATAAAATCATGTGGCCAAGTGGCAGGGTAAGAGGTGGGCTGAAAAACAAAGACTAAATGCAAGTTTTAGAAAACAGGTACAGGCATTTCGTATAGTAGAAAACCAGAGAAAAAATTAACTAAAGTAACAGAGTCCTTGCATCAAGTATTTCAGCACAGAGTGAGGGATGTTCCCGGTACGGGCTGTGCATGCAGTATCATTACCAGTGGCTCAGATTAACACTGGAAATCCTGGCAGCTTTACATGTACCTAGGGACTCAGAAATCTGAATCTGGGTTTTGCAGCTTAAGCTGCTTTCCAGTGGTGAGGCACAGAAAATTGTTGGAAGGTGCTTGGGTCCTGTTAGCAGTCATCAAACACTGCCCACTTACAGCAGTAAGCCTGTAGGCTCCTGAACTCTCATAGTAGACCTTGGACCCCCACGGTGTCAAAACAAGTTGCCTGTCCTGATAATCACAGACTTCTGGCTTGTCTGTCCATTCTAGCTTGAGTCTTGGCTCATTCCTGGGTCTGCTGCCCTCACTCAAATGGTCCTTGGGTCCTTTCTTCTGTGCCTATGAACATCTGTCCTCACAAAAACAAGGACCAAAGGAGCAGTTCTTGTGGCAATCCCTTCCTCAGAAACGTCAGGAATGTTCCAGGTATTTATGTGTTGCAATGCATGATCTTCTCTGATGAGACCTAACAGCATCTAAAGCTGCAAGAAAGATGAGGGGGTTTACCTTGTTTACATCTTCCTATGTCTGGATTAGCTAACCTTCCTACTTTTTGAACTATTAGGTTTTTAAAAAGGAGCATATACAAACCAAATCTTGCAGTCCTTACTAAAGTTCATGGTGACCTTGGCTGAGAAGAGTTTACAGGACTTGTTCTGGTATTAAATATCCAATGAACTGTGTTGAATGAGCAGAGAATAAAGTTTTTAGTAACTCACACAAATGTAACACCTAAAACTACATTCTGCAGAAGGAACAGAGAAAAGTCAAAATGAACTTAAATTTCATTTAGTAAAATACTAGTTTCATTTAAAAAAAAGTGTGTTGGTTGATAATTTCTTTTTTTCTTTGTAGAGTTCTCAGCAATCTCACAAACTCTCATCCTCTAGTAGTGTGTTGTGGTGTGTGTGGTTTTTTTATGATAATGATGCTCAGGTGGTTTAAATAAGGCCAGATTAAAACATGCAGTGTTTGGGGGATTACTTAACTGCTGTCACCTGACCTACAGTCTCTCTCTCCATTTCAGGTGCCTAACTTCATCAACACAACACTCCCACCCCATGAACAGGTGACGGCTCAGGAGATAGACAGCTACTTCAGACAGGAGCTCATCTACAAGAGGAATGAAAGAATGGGGAAGAGAGTGATGGCACTTTTAAGGGAGAACGCAGACAAGAGCTTCTTCTTTGCCTTTGGAGCAGGTATGGTGTGAATTTTTATGGTTTACTCAGTTATCATGATTGGAAGTGGTTTGAATGCTTCATGATTTTGCCTCTGGTCCTGTGGAAAGATTTCTTAGGGGACTTCCCTTTGAAGCAGAAAGGCTTTTGTTTGTCTAAACCTGCTTCTGAAATGCTGTGAGTTGTTGTAGGAGGTGGGTCTGAGTCCAGCCAGGCTGTGGGCAGGCTGCACTCCTTTGCTTTCCATCTGATTGTAGGTGAAGCTGTTAATGCTTTTGATGCTGTTGTGTCTGTTCCATTCCCAGCCCAACCTGTGGGCTGCTTGAGTTATGTTTTGGCCCAGCCAGGTGTATGAGATGGTTGAAGTGCTTTTGAATTTGCAAGCCCAGGTACCGATGGAAGTGGGAATACAAACTTGGCTGTGGTATAGGCACATGTGTGTGGCTCAGGGTGCTGGCCTGGGGTTTCAAACCTTTTGGAGTTACTGCAGTCAGACTTTCTGGGTGACTTAGCTACCTTGGTGGTGTGTCTGTAGAGACTGGCTGTTTCTGGAGCTTGCACAAGTGCATGAGTTATGTGTGTAGCTGAAGACTAACATTTTAAATTACTATGTAAAATTCCAATGTGTCCCTCTGCCTGCTTAAATTCTCTCCGTGAAGTTTGCAGAACAAAGATGTCTGTAGTACTTCTGTGAGTCTGTGACAGTATGTGCTGCTGTCCTTTCTCTCCCTTTTTTAATTATTCTTTTTTTTCCATTTCCAATGGAATTCACGTTTCTGTGTGATAAGAGTATGAATAATAACTGTTCAGGCCTCAATTCAACAGAATTCTGAGGACCGGCTTAAGTGGCTCTTTGAGCTCCTTTGACTTCAAGGCAGCCTGAGATTGTCATGCCGAGAACTGATCTGCTCCTCCTGCTCCCTCTCCTTGACAATTTCTCATTTGTGACAGAACTTTGCTTCTCATCCCATGGCTCTCGCTATGAACTTTGGCAACAACTCACCTTTTGCTACTCACTTCAGTGGGAATTTTGATTAAAGACTGTGGGGTTTAGCAGAGATACATTCATTTTGATGTATTTATTTTTTGAGTGTATCCAGACAGAATTTTCCCAAGCTTATTTAATCTCAAGCTTGCCTGGTATTTCTGTCCAAGGAGTTTTGCTCAACTGTTTTTACAGTAGGAAAATATATTGTGATGGCTCGTAATTGGACAGGGATTCATGAAAAACAGCTTGTCTAACCCATGGAGCGAGGTTTATCAGAGATTATCGAATGTGATGGTTTTGATGTAGTCTCCACTTCTGGAACTCCCTTAAGGACTTTATACTGGAGCTGGAAGGATAAACTGTGGATCATTGCCCACTTGCCCTGCTCTGTACACACTTTTCCTGGACATCAGTTACAGACCACAGCTTGAGACAGGATCTTGGACTAGATGAGTCATGGATCCAGTGCACTGCAGCTATTTGTATGTGCTAATAACAGAAATGAAATTAAGCAAATGGATACTAATTACACATTGCTTTCTATAGAAAGTCACATCTAAGTTGTGGGAGGTTTGAGCTTTCATTCCCTGTCCCCATCGGTAGGCATCTACCTGAAACTCCTGGGCAGCATCACTTGGGAAAGCTGGCTCATAAAGAGCAAGTCTTGCTTTGTCCTTTACTCTCCATTTTTGACGATGTTGAAAACAGCCTTTGTTGATGGGTTATTTCTTTTTCCCAGCACTGACTGTAGAACAGAAGAGACACATGCAGCGGGATTTATTGAAAACCAGGGTGTGGGAGATGCTAAGGAAAGCTTTTTGTTTTGGGTTCTTTGTTCCAGCATCCCTTTGGCCTTTCTCACTAAAGCGGGCCGTCCCTGCAGGCCATCCCTACTTTAAGTACAATTAATTCCTCCTCTCTTCTCTGGAGTGTTTTTTCTTCATGCAGTAAGTACTGAGAAAATTATTAATTTTTCAATGCCAAAACTTTTATATGGCCAAAGTGTAAGCAAGTTCATTTTCTCTCATGATTCAAATGCAGTTTTTCTGCTGAAGGTTCTAACATCTACTTCTCGCATGTTAAGGTGTTTTTTTGATATGTGCTTGAGTGGTGAATTCAAATTGTTTTCTAAAACTTTGAGGGTTTGGTTTTGCTCTTTATAAAAGTAAAGGGTGTTTTTGATGAAAGTTGAGGCTTTCACATATTCCCATGAATTCTGAAGTGCAAAATTTTAGGACTGCACCTTTGGTTAGGACAGGCATGGTAGAGTCTGCAGGAGTGCATTTGCTCTCAGAACAGTGCAAAAGTTATTTGACTTCATTTAAGATTCTGCATATTTAAGACTGACATGATGGCAGGGAGATAATTTGAAAAAATATTCTGGATAATGTACTCTAAAAGGTATTGTTCTTATGCTAAGCATGATCTCTGCATTAATCTGTTTATTTTGAGATATTGCAACTAATGAATGAATAATAATTTAATTATATATGTATATTATGAATTGGTTTCCAAATTTCATAATCTCCAACGTAATTTCTGGGAAGACAAGAATTGAATAAAACTATGCTGGCAAATAAAATTGGGAAAATAAGTATTGTCCTAAATAAGAAAATAAGCCTGTTGTGAGAAAAGCACCTTGGAAAAACTTCACCAAACACAACGTTACGTTATCCAGTGTAAGCTCAGTTTCCACCTGGCTGGATGAAAACATGTGGGTGGAGGGAGATGTGGCAATTCCTCTCACCAGATTGAAACAACCTTCACGTAAGGCAAGATCCCACACCCTGGTCACAGCAGATCTGGCAGGTCAGGTCACCACTGGAAACATCCCCACTGGTTTCAGATGGAAGAGGATCAAACCCAAGGAAAGGTACAAGAAATAGAAATTGTGTGGAAATTGGTGCAGAGTGCCACTTGGGTACAGCAGGAGTCACCCCAAGAAAAACACTGCTGTTTTTCTGAAGAATGCTTATTTCCCAGTAAAGCTGTGGCCGTTGGGCTGATTGGAGTATAGCAGGCAATTAATGTAGTTGCCTGTGTGACTCTGCATGTTTATGGCCTGGTTATTAGCTATTTTATACGTAGAATTTCTACCTTCTTCATCCTGCCTTGCTTTTAAATTAAGGTTGATCAAAATCTTTCAGCTGATAGTTTTTTCAGTAGAATATTGGGCATTTGAAAAAAACGGAGTTTTTCTGTTTGCTTCTGAAAAAGCAAGTCCACTTCTTGCAGATGTCAGTCAAAATCCCAAGTGCTTGCGTGTTGTGGTTCTCCTTGGTAAACTGGGATTCCTGCTTAAACTGTTTTGATATGTGCCATTTAGAGCTGAGCTGCAAAGACCTCGTGGTGCATCGTAGAGGAAGTGGTTGAGAGTCTGGTCCGTAGCTGAGCATGAGGCTGTGAAACATCGAACAGCCAAGTCCTGGGGATGAGGGAGTGGTAAGGGGACAGGCATTTGAATATCCAAGCAAGCTGAGATAAAGCAGTTTTTAGATCCACAAAGTGAAACAAAGAATTTTTATACTGTTGAAAGATTATTTGTTTTTTGTTTGTTTTTTTTTTTTGTTCCAGTCAGAAGCATTAAAACAAAAAAATTACACAATTCTAAATGGAGCTTTTCAGTTTTCTACCATTTCTAAAAAAAAAAAGTTGACTTTTCAATAGATTTCCCCCTTCCCCACCTTCCATGGCATTACTCACAATTTAAATGCATTGGAGCAGTTCAGATTTTTAATTTATTCCTTTATAAAACACATAGAAGTGAAAATAGCCATTTATTCTTTCTACTTTCATTTCTTTCTCCTCTCCAAGAAAAATACAGGCTTTGAGTAAAATGGGACCCAGCTCTATACCCAGCTCTGTACACTTCATTCTTCTCCTGCCAGGGTTTACCATATTCAGACTTAACATGAAAATCTCACCATACCTGTATTCACCGTAACTATACTCTAGTAATGAAACAGCGTTTATTGTTTGTGCGGTTAAATGACATTTTTCAGGTAGTAGGCATGGTAATTTTTCCCTTTGAATGAATAAAAGTAGCTAAATAGAGTACTTTCAAGTAAAATTTGGGGGTTTGTTTGGGTTTCGTGTCTTGAAAATCCATCCTGAATTGCTAGGAATTATTGATTCATAATAACAGTGAAGCACCTTAGACCTGATATGTACAGGCAATTTATAAAGGTCCATTTACAGTCAAGAAAGAGAGATGCAGCCAAGAGCACATGGGCTGTTAAAAAGAGTTAATATTTTGGCAACTGAGGCTATACACATGAAGTCAATGTTTAAGAAAAAAATCACTCTGGTTTATTTCATTTTTATGGGCAAATAATTTTCAAGTAACACTTATGATAACAGATGGATAAATTTATGTCTGCAGTTAATTTGAACGATAATTTCCTTAGGATGTTTTACTTACTTGCATTTCTTTCTTGCTTTCTTTTATGAGATCTGTCAGTTTTGTAGCTGAGAGTTGGATTTACTGCTTCAGAAATTCGGATGCTGCTCCAGTTCACGATGTTTATTAGCAGCCAAATCAGTAGGCTTTAAGGCAGTGGTTTTGGTTATTTAAAATAATAAATATATCATGGAGAATATTCTTTTAGTGCTGAGAGAGTTGAAATGCAAGTAGCATAGCATCTCCCACAGCAAGAGAGGAATCAAACTGTCTCTGGACCACAGTCCTGTGGTGGAGGAAAGCACGTGTTTCCCCACCCCACCGGGTCCAGGCAGCTCCCTGTGTCTGAGGGGTGAGAGAAGACCCGGGCTGTTGTCCATGGTGGGTGGAAGCCAGAGCAGGCTGGTGACCACCACGCCCGATGAAGTCAATGTGTGTTAACAGGGATCAATGTGGGTAAAAGTCTGATCTCTCTTGCTCAGCTGTAGGCTTAGGTGGCTGAGACTAGGTACCTACTTGCTGGATTACGCTTAAATTTCTGAGATGTTCTACAAGGAAAAAAAAAGGTACAGGTTCTGTTGTAGATGTCTGTGTGCTCCCATGAAAACAGAGGAGTTCGTCCCAGAGTAGGAA